AATTTTCCCTTTTGTTTTAACCGTAACTGGCTTTTGTTTCTTTGCATTTTGCATTTCCGCATATCATAGCATTGGTTCTCGAGACATGGGATCAAGGTATTTCTGTGGCTCAGGGTTCCCTTTCGTTGCAAGAGTTCAAACAGCAAGCAATCAGAGCCTCTGGCATATATTTTGCCCAGCGATTGAGCGGTCGATTTTATTTTATTCAGTAGGTTATTTTCATCTCAAGAGACAGTGTACAAGTTATCCCATGTATTCTCATAGTTATAATATCTAAGGGCAAGTTTTGAAGGCTTAACAAAGCTTATAACAGGTGGCAATGAGTGATTATACGGGATTCCCTCCATTGGACGCCAATTTGGGCATTTTTGAATGTGGTAACCGGTTACCACATATGGGTAATCAGTTACCCTGGGCGAAATTTTCCAGGAGATTTGAATTTTTAGCATTGCGATTTTTCCAATCATTTTCAACCATTGATTTCACATGATCATCGTTGGAAAGATCTAGAATTGTTTCAATTTTCATCATTTCTCTCCAAATTTTAAACACTTCATTCCTAGTTCCACTCCTAATTTCCATTCCAAATGCTAATCCACATTCTAAACCATATTTTGATTCCAAACTTAGAGCTTATTTAAGTGAATTTGCTCCAAACCTTACACAATTACCTTCATTTTCATATTTCACCTTCAGTCTTGAGAATTTTCTCTCAACTTTCTCTCAAATTTCTCTCAACTTTTTCATTCCTAAAACCTCCATTAAAGCTCTTTCCAGTTGAGTTCATTGATTCTTCATTGGAATCCTTGAATTCTATAGCTAAAGCTCTATTATTCATCTCCATTATCTTCAATTCATCATTAAATTTTCGTATGGATTGGGACCAGAATTTTGAAGCTAGATTGAAAGTACTTTTTGGGATTATTTTTTCTTGATCTTACTTGTTCTTCATTTCTACCATAAGGAAACTCTTGGATCTTGAATATTCTCTAGGTTTCTAGCTTGGATCTGTTAATTTCAAGTGAATCAACACTCACCAAAGCAAATCTCTGCTTTGAAGGTTGGTAATTCTAGATCTAATTCAGTTTTGAACTTATTTGCATAATCACAATGTAGATCCATGGCTTTTGATGCATTTTGATCCATTTGGATGATTTATATATTTTTGATTTGTGATTTAAATGTTTGATTGTGTTTACATGATGTTTGATCGCTGATTCTTGATGATAAATTCGTGCTTATTTGATTATGTGTTCATGTGATTGATTGGATAAGTTGTTTGGTGCTGAAAACTGATTTTGGATGTGGTGTTTCTGTTTTTGGTTCAGTGGTAATCGGTTACCACATATGGGTAACCAATTACCATTCATAAATTTCACATTCCAGGTTGTTTTTACAACAGGTAACCGATTACCTGATTACAGTAACCAATTACCACTGAATAGAGTGCCTTGTTTTTGCATTTTCTTCTTTGCTTAGGATCTTTTTCACATGTAAACTTCATGATATGATATGATGCATTTATGTGGATTTTTTTTGGACATATTTCATCGTTCTTGAAGGTTTGATCTTGATTCTTCAACACGTAACATCTGGTTTCGGTTTGAATGCATAACATGCTAGTGTTGCTTGATTGATGAATGATCACATGCTTTGCTTGCTTATATCATGTTAGTTGGTTATCATGAATGTTTACTTTGTTGGATGTTTGATGCACGTTTGCATTTGTTTCCGATTCCATTTTGCTGCGCACTTGTTTGATCGTTCGATCGTTCAATTTGATTTGAAGAGCATGTTGATCTTGTTGATTTCTTATAGATGCAATATTGTTGATCAATTATGTTTGATTGTTGAAGCATGTCCATACTTGCATGATACCTATCCATGATTGGTGTTTGCTCTTGATTAATTGCATTTATGCTTACTTGCTGCCCAACTTTCCACAATTGTGGTTGTTTTGAATTTGCATGTTATCCTTGCCTTACTTGCTTGCTACCTGCCTTTTTCCACCTACTTTTGGGCTGAAACATGTGTTGTTATAGAATGTCTTGCTTGAATGCTGGATTTTACTGTTGTCTTGTGCAGGAGGCGCTGTTGTAGCTGCTGTTTTTACCTTGTTTCCTTGCTTTTTGCTTTGTCTTTGCATGATCCCTTAGGTTTCCTAGTCCAACTTAATTTCTGGTTAAATTTGGAGTAGGATAGACATTAAGATTACAACCCAAGCATGATAACAAGTAGGCTAGTCCCTTCTAACCTCAACCTTAGGTTTGTCTTTTGCATGCTAACATTAGGATAAAATCTCTTTTCGCATTCCGACTTTAGGACCACTTTGCATGACAACGTTAAGGCCGAACTTCCCTTAGACCTTCTGTGTGTCTCTCTTCTCATCTCAAAATGCATTCTAACTCATCCAATAAAGACGATGAACATTGTACGCTACGAGCCTTAAGCACGTGGGAAATGATGAGTTAGGGGTTTCTCCTCACTTGCCTAGAGTGTTTAGTGTATGCCCTTTGGGTGATATGCGACACATTCGCTCCTATGTCATAGCCTTTAGTGCAACGTGAATCTCAAACAAAATAATTCACTTAACTAAAACTCACAAACAAAATTTAAACCTTTTTATCCTTCGAGATTTGTGTTTCAAACTCATTTTTAGAAAAGAGTATGTTGTTTTTTTCGTTCTATCGCAAACATGCATAGATCCTAACTGCTGAAATGGGAACTTAGTGTGACTCATAAAAAACACTTACCCAACCTGTGGTTTTCTTTTACCCAAACTACGCTTGCTCTGATTTCTCATACCAGATGAGGATACGTAGGCATAAGAAGGCGATGTCTTGACGAGCAACCTTCCCCATCACTCGTAGTTTTCTAAACTACGTTGACTCTGACTTTCCCATTGCACGAGGGAATACGTAGGCATAGGGCGGCGATGTCCTATCGAGCCTCATTCTTTTTCTCTTGTTCTCGTTTCCGTTTAGCAATAGCTTTTAGATAACATATCCTTTGATTAGACAACAAGCATGAATCCCGATGAGTACAATGGACATGAGGGGTGCTAATACCTTCCCCTTGCGTAGCCGACTCCTGAACCCAAGAGTTGGTTGCGATGATCTTATGTTTTCCCGTTCTTCAAGTTTTCTCCGATCATTTCCTTTCCATCTCTTTGGGATAAATAACGTTCGGTGACGACTCTTCTGTTTTTCTACCGGGTGTTTTTCGCAGTTGTGACAGATGATTATGTCAATCCCCAACAAATGACCTACATCACCAATCCATATCCAATAAACCAACTTTCTCTTTCCATCCATTCTTACTTGGCAAAAAATTATGGGTACTATGTAATTTTATCCTCTTCTACTTTGAATGTCTGAAAGTTGTTGATATTCATACCTTCAGGTCCAAGAAGAATAAATAGGGGCATCTATCATACCCTAATTTTTATCCCTAAGATTCCACCTATCATATCATTTGCATTTCATCACACTCACAAGCATGGGTTCTCCCATCGGTCACTTCTTTAGGTTTGTTCTTGTGTTTGTTTATTATTACTAACCCTTATTCAAAAACCCAAAAACATGTGCTTGTTGTTTGCATTTTTCTTATTGTCAAAGCTCATGTGTTGCAAGGCTGAGTCAGGGTTCAGTCAAGGCTATCAGGGCAAGTGTGTGTGCAGTGATGATTAAGATTCAATTGAGTTTGACCTAATCTTCGTCAAACAAGTGTGCTTCAGTCCAAGCTATCAGACTGTGTCAATTCCATAATGTTTCATGGTTGATAATCATCAGAATCCAGTTCATTTTCAGTTAGGGTTTTGTACAGTGTATTGAAGTTCATATCTCAATTCATAATCCTCTGATTTCAAGGAACTTTCTTGCTCAGGGAGTTTAATAGTGAAGACTTTGATTCAGCAAGATTCAAGTGGCCAAGTTCAGATTGATTCATTGATACAAGGCTCTAGGTTATTCCAAGTTCATCATTAATTCAAGATTTATTCATTGATTCAGAACTCTAATTCATTCCAATCCAAGATGGATTCATGGTCAATTTTATTCCTCAAGATCAATTCAAGTGTCATTCATTTTAAGTGAAAATTCAAAAGTGTGGAATTTGGCTAATGAGATTTTTGGTATTCACATGGAAATTCAAGTCTTGATAGTCATGTTTTTTTTTATCAAAGATTAAGAATCACAAGTCTAAAGAATTCTCATGGCCAAGGTTTCAACATGAGTGGAGGGTGCAAAAAATAACAAGTCATAAACCCAAAACCAAATCAAAAATCCATTCATCATAAAAATTCTAAAAAAAAATAAAAGTTCATTGTCCAATAAAAAAAAAAGCCCATTTACATTATATGTTACATGGAAAAACTACAACAAAAAACAAGGAAAGAGAAAGCCCATTTTCAACAAGTTTGAAACAAAAAAGAGAGAGAGAGAGAGAGAGAGAGAAACAAGCTTCATGAATACTATACGAGCAGCCAATGAACAACATCCAAAAATCATCAACACAACTGCACACAAGCTTCAACAAAAACAAAGCCAAGTAACTTCGCCCAAGCTGCATGTTCACACGAACCAAGCTTCACATTCCAAACTACAAGCCACTATCCTAACACAATGAAGCCTTACACTAAGCCAAAACTACACTCCAAGCTCGCGAGGCAAACGCGGCTGCTACATGAAAGAAAGGCAAAACAAGTTGCCAAGCTGCAACAAATAATCAAAACACGAGCCAAACGACCTGAAAATTACAAAACGCATGAGTGAAGCAAAAACGACATCAACTTAACTTCAATTTCAATTCAAAATTTTCACCTCATTCTTCTATAAAAGCAGCCTATTTTAAAAACTTCTCCAAGCTTGAAAGCCAGAACTACTCTGCAGAAACTCCCCAAAACCTTCAACCGTCAATTCATCCTCAAATTCAATCCTCTTCAAGCTTCATCAACAACTCAATTCATAAGCACCGTAACTTCATTCCAACTCTTTTCTTCATTAAAACAAAACCTGCAATTCATTCAATTTAACAACAACAAATTTCAACCACATCAACCACACATAAACAAATTGCAACAACAACGTGAACCCACACATCAAAGCTTTCACGCAAATTAACAAAAATCCTTCATAACACATAGCTCAACTTTCAGAAGAAGAAGAAGAAGAGAAATCAAATCCAACGAATACCTGAGATTTCGTCTTCAACTCTGTTTCAACTACAAAGGTGACTCCGACATCGATTTCACTTGAATTTTGTTGTGTTGGTTGAAATTGGAAGGGAATTATTGAGAGTTTTGAAGAAATGATGTAGGGGGTGGCGAAAGGAAGCTTCGCCGCTGCCGACGGTGAGCTCCGGGGCGGTGGAGCATTTGAAATGCTGGTGAGAGAGAAATGGAGGATGTTGCTCGCGTAAAGAAGAAGAGGATTTTCCTTTTGATGTTGGTTTTGTTGTTTAACCTCATTTACTTGTTCTCTTGGGCTTAAGCCCATATAAGATGCCATTACCACATCTCCATGATACACCGATACACACTCCCTCACTCATATTTTTTTTTTTTTTTTTATTTCTCATTTATTTTCCTTATTTGTTTTAGAGTTTTTTTTTTTAAATATTTGTTTTGAATTTGCTTTTGATATCTTGTTAAGCAATACTTGATCTTTTACTATTTTGCTTTCATCTCGATTTTTATTTTATTTTTTGGTTGATGAAGATCTTAAATATTATGGAATGTTAATTTTTAAGGAGATTGAATCTTCATTATTTCAAATATGTTGATGAATGATGTAGCGGGGAAATTTGTCAGTGTAAGTGTCGCGGTGAAATTTGGATACCAAGCTATTAATGAGTTTGAATCTAATTCATTTGCAACCGAACTTTGATTTGTCCAAAGGAAGGGATAAAGATCGAAATTTCCACAATGCAATGCAAATGCAAGCTAGAGAGTTATAGGTTCGGGGGTTGGTTAAACTTAGGGAAGGTGCCAGCATCCTAAGTTTCTGTAGTACTCTACAGGAACCTCTTGTTTTAATGTTGTTTATTGCTATGGATTATTTGCTTAAGGGTTGAAAGACCCTAGGGGTTTATTTCAACCCAAGAGTTATCATTTTAAGGGAGATTACTTGATTTAAACCACCACAGCGTTGTAGGAAAATTGATTATGTTGTTATGGGGTAGAAGTTTTATCCCACTTAAGGTGATTAACATCTTATTCTCTAATGTGTTTGAAAAGTTTGATTTGAGTTGAATTGTTTACTCTAAGTTGTAAAGGATAAAGGTCCTTCCTATGGGGTAGGATCTAACTTAGAAGATCAACTTGAATGGGATCAAGGATCATGGGGAAATGATGCAAATGGGATGCATACGCGCAAGTTTTACGTTACGTGCAAGTTCTTCCTTTGGACGGAATGCAATGCGACAATGTAAAGGATGAGAAATATAAATAGCGGAAGATAAAGACAAATAAATAAATCATACACAAACGCATGAAAGCGCTAAGTGAGTGAGAGTGAATATGTGAGTGGAATCAGGGCGTAGATGTATGGAATCGTGCGCGCGTTGATTAAATTAGTGTTGATTGATTTTAGGCGGATTGATTAATTTGGGCGATTGATTTTAAATGAGGGTTGAATTGGTTTTAGTTGAATTATGCTTATGAGAAAATATATTTTTTGTGAGATTAATTTTAAGAGAGATTATTTTAGATTTGTTTTAGTAAAAGTTATTTCTTGATAATAAAATAATACTTAGATTTTAAAAATTTAATTATCATAAATTGAGAAAAAAAAGTTTTAGGTGAATTTCTAATTATTAAAAAAAAGGTTGTTATTGTTATTTATTTTGAAAGCATAAAATAGATTTACTTATTATCAAAAGACAAGAGTTATATAAAAAAAGTTTATTATTTATTTTTAAAATCAAATAAGTATAAGATGAATATATTATTATTTGTGTTAAAAGTGGATTAATTGATTAATAAAAATATTAGTTTAAATTATAAAAAAAAAGGTGATTTATATTATTATAATAAAATGTACTAAGTTGATAAAAGAGTTTAATTAGAAAAGATTAGTTTGAAATTTAATTAAAAAGGTTAATAGTTATTGTTATATAAAACTGGATTAAGATTTTTTAAAAAAGGATTAACGGGCGTTGATTGGGTGTGACGCAGGATGCAGGCTTATGGTGGGGATGCGATTGTGGCCGTACAATGATGATCAGTGGCGGGATCGTGTGGTGATCATGTGAAGTACACCGTTACTACGGTGCGTGTGTGAGCATTCGTTAGATCATATTACAACAACATAAACAAAATTAGAAATAAAAAAAACCTAAGCCCCCAATAATCCCCAATTTCTTCCGATCTCCCTCACTTCCTCTTCGATTCCTCCCGTCTTCTTCTTTCATCGTTTTCTTTTCTCCCTTTCTTCCGCCGCTTCGTTTTGATTTCCTGCGTAAATCAAACAACAACAACAAATATAGTTAGCAAAACGAACTCACGTTTAAAAGGTATTTGCAGGTTTCGACAATGGTTGTTCCTGGGTCGCGTCGATCTACGGAAACGGTGGAAGTATCTCGCGGACAGAAAGGGTTATGGTGGTGGCGGCTGAAGAATGATTTCCGGCAATGGTTTTTTTGATGGGGCGGTGGGATCTCCGAAAAGATAAGTTCCTCTTCTCTTTGATATATAGGGTTTCGAATTGAGGTTAATTTGTGATTGCTCTTCCCTTCTCTGTGTATCCCCCGTTATCCCTTTTATATGCTCAGAAGAAATCAAAGGTATTGATTTAAAATGAATGCTCTGGATTTGTGGAGGTTGGTTTTGGAAGGATATAACTTTCACGAGAAAATTCTTCCCATATCAGTGTGAACATGTTGAATACGGTTTTGGAAACAACTTGGATTTGCTTTAAACATGTTTCAAAATCATCTTGAAAATTCAGGATTGTTGGTTCACGAATTTCCTTTCTCAGAATCGTGATATGTATGGATGGTTTTGAAAACTTATTTTGTTGTCTCCGATACTTTCCATTTCGAGTCCACTTCTTTGAATACTTTGATCTGAAGAATTGTTGGTATTGAATCACTGCTAAATGGTTTATTGATGTTGATTCCTCCTATACAGGATATTCTTGGAACAGGTTTAAAGATTTAAGAGTTAATGGCTGTTGAACCTATTTGGAAAGAACGGGACAAATCCTTGAAGCAAAACTCAATTCACTTCCTTTTCACCGTCCGGTTGCAATGGAGTTTGTTGGTCTTGTTTTTCAGTTTCAACTTGGGTGAGTGGAAGCAGTGGACCGGTAGCCTCGGAACAGACTTGGAATCTCGTAGCAGGTATCTCCGTGAAACTTTGTTTTCCTTATGATTAGTAGTTGTTTCTCAGCCATCTGATTTAGTGCCCATATCTGTTTCTGTTACAGGTTTAACATTGGTTGGCTACCGCAAAGCTGCTTTCGTCTTGGTGTGTTAATTATGATAGTATGGAGGAACTTGAGGTTATGAACTTGCTTCACTTGGTTGATAACCTTATTCTTTTCAAAAGGACCAAATCTCTTGAATTTCGGTGCTACCATAATTTCCTTTGTTGAAACGCAGGTGAATATAATGGCGGGCGAGAGTCACAAACAATATTTCGAATGAAATAGTAAGCAAGAGGGACGACAAGTAGCATCAATATTGTTATTACCAGAAGCTCCTCAAAAAGTGGTGTCCTTTAGTGGGTATCTAAGGTCCGTCAACATCCTCTCTCCAAGAAATGGTGAAATGGCTCTAGTATGTTCAAGACACCATCAATTACCACAAGAAGCAACATAATCGACCGGTCACGTACATGTATCTCTGCGACTTTAACTCTATGTGATCTGGTAGTGCGTATTGAATCTCTGGAATTTTTCTGCAATTGACTTGATTTCTTCTCACGACTATATTTCCGCATCATTATATCTTCGTGTGTTTCTTTTTAGATGACTTCGTCAACTTATGAATGGGAAATTGACGAGGTTGTCGCGCTGGAGTTTGAGCGGGACTCAGGCATATCAAATAGGTTCGTGATGATAAGGTGGGGGTTTATCATATCTCTTAGATGTTACCTCCCGACAAAATCCTTGATTGCATTCTAATTATGTTTGTCAATTGCAGGGTGGCAACACAACATGTTCGAGCAAACCGAGCTGGGTTCTGGCCCAGAGCAGTAGCAGCTAGAGGGAAAAGAAAGGCCCATTGGTTGTGGTCTAAGAGTGTTTGATGGATTTGGAAACTGATAATATTGTAAGTGTGCATTTCTGGTTAAAACTCCTTACAGTTTTTGAATTTGTTTTATAATCCAATGCACTGTAATAGTTTGTATCTTAGAAATTGGAACATGAAATCATGGCTATCGCAGTTGACATGAGTATGCTTCATTGGTGAGATGTGGAACTTATCCTTTTTTCTAATTGAACAGGCCAAATTGCAGAAGAGGAATTTAAAGCTGTTGCGGATTTTGACAATGGCGGTTATTAATTCTATTTTGTGCTTTGCAGGTTCCTAGCTTCACATGTAAGAAATCAAGCTAATAGCTTCAGTTGTTTTACCCAGGACTCTGAGGGCGTCAGCTGAACGGAGTTGAATTCGAGCTTCGACATATTTCATTGGAAGAAATCGAAATAAGTGTAAGCCGGAGCAACCATGAGCCTGTTATGTTTTCAGAGTCGTAATTGGAATGAAAGGAGCGGTTCACCATTAGAGCGGAAGCAACTGATGATGATGAGGCGAAGTTATCTCCTGTGATTTTATCATGTACACTTGGAATTGGCTTGATGGCCTTGTAAAGAACAAATGTCAATATTAAATCTTTAGTTTTTATAATCAATTTGGGTTTATACTGTAATATCCTTTGTAGTGCCGTGAATTTAAATCTTCGGATTTGGATTAAAACTGATAGTCCAATCTTGCATCCCTTTTACATTGAATTTTGAATCTTAGGATTAAAATGTGATGCAAAACCTCCTTGGATTGAATTTCGAATGATGAACTCACATGAAGTAATTCTTGCCAAAAACTCCATGGATATCGCGACTTATTTAGAGCTTGCATCTCATTTTCCAAAAATTCGATTTATGATTTAAAAGATTTGAATCTTGTGATGACTTGGACTTAAACTTAACGGTATATGGATGCACCTTCCACTCATATTCAGCTCTAAGATTCAAATGATCATGAACTTGTCATGAGAATTAATCTCGAACATAAGGGTGCAATATCATACAAATAGTCTCATATAAACGTTTCCAATGGCCGTTCTTGAACTTTTATAAAAAGCACCTTTCTCTTGACGACTAAAAAGGGTGTTTTGATAAGAGATAATCCGTCAAATTTAAAACCAACCAATGCACTTATTTTGGATTTATCACAGAGTTTGAAATGAACACGGGCCTCGAGTTCGTAAGCTTAAGTTAATGAAATTGAACCATTTGTATCTTCTTCCACAATTTTTGCAACTTCCACAAATTCAAACGATGAT